CTGAGAACTGAGATTTTCTTTAAGGTTATGGGTATAACTTTTGTGCACCTTCCCCTTCCATTGGCAGGTCAAAGGATAGTCCCACCTCAAATTCACTCCATTGGTTGAGCTAATATTGTTGTTTTGGGCTGAGTCTGGGATCTATGCTTGTGTAATCATTACTAGTTTGAGTCTAAACCGGTAAAAGCGATAAAGCAAGAATTCTTGTAAATTATAAATATCTACACCACCAAAGCATAATGGTTACTGTACTCGCACTTTTAAATATAAAACAGACCACTGAATGATCTTAGAAACTAAACAAGCTGTTTATGTTTTTCAGAGTGAGATCATTTTACCTGCTGATACAGCAGAACGCCACCAGTCGAAAGAGGTCTGCAAAGCTGATCCCTGAGCCCTCCAGGGAAAAAGCTGTAATAAAGACACACACACACACACACACACACACACACCACAGGGATTGCTATTGGAAAAACTGTAATGCTTTAACAGTCTCTCTCAAAGGGAAAAGTAAACGGAGTCAAATTTGTACATTTAAACATCTTCTCACAAGTCGCACAGGATCTGACCAACTTACTGCATTTGCAGAAAGTGACAGACAAAGACAGAGAGAAAACCAGAGAGATGGGACTGAAGCAGAATGCAAGAACTGTGTTGATAGAGATAAAACAGTGAGATAACTGATTTAATTTAAGTAGAATAACAGCATAGCACAATTGGAGCTTGATCCATACAAATGGATTTTAAGATTCATTAGGCTTCATTCATGAAACAAAAGAAGAACAGAAAAAAAATCATCAGTAAAAATGAATAGATTTATGAACGATTCTTATACTTCAAAAAAAGTTGTTTCCAACCAAATATTGTTTTCCATATTTGCTCTTTCAGATATTAAATATGAATACTGCCATTCAAAAGTTTGTGGTAGGAAATTCCTCTTCTGTATATTCTATAATATTGCAGTTTAATGTTGCAATTTAAATTAAGTTGTGCTGCTTAATAAGTTTGTTGAAGCCATGATACTTTTTTCAGGATTCACAATTTTGTAAAATTATAAATATCTGTAATCACGATTACAGATATTTATAACTGTAATCGTGATTACAGATATTTATAATTTTACAAAATCTGTAAAATTTCTGTAATCACGATTGATCAATTTAATACATCTTTGCTGAATATTAATTCATTAATTTAGTATTAATTTATAAAAAAAAAATAAAAAATTGTACTGACCCCAAACTTTTGAACGGTAGTATATGCTGTGTATATCACACTACATATATATATCATGCTGATATTCAGTACCACAGCACACTTATGGCCCTGTATTATGAAATGTGTCTTTGACAGAATAACAAAAGCATAAATTAAGCAAAAACATCAAACAAACAAACACAGTTTATTACTAGGTCAGCGTTTACTCTGATGAGATGCATGGTTGCTCCAAATAATTAGACAGGAAATGGACAGGCAAAAAACAACCAAAAACGGAAGTGGAAAGTGAAGAAGTGAAAAAGTTGACGCAGATGCACACACTATTAGTGGTCTACTAATGGAAGTACACTTAGTATATCACTTACTATATTGACTCTCTTTAACTGGGAAGTCCCGAACAATCAGTGTGTCACTGTCCATACGTAGGGAAATCACCTTTTTCTGCAGTTTATAACACCTCCTCACCACAAAACTCTAGACAGAACACAGACACACACACATGAATGTGACTGACCGTGACAAAAAATAAATAACGAAAGAACCTATTGTTGTGAAGCAAGGAGGCTGTTGTCTTTACCCCTGCCGGCTGTGGCTGCAGAATGCGTCTGGCTTCCTCATCGCTGAGTGACAGTAGCAACCATACAGAGTGTGTCTGCATCAGTCTGTCCAGGATGCTCATGCGTCTGCGTAGAGAGTCATACCCAGAATCCCTCACTCCAGGTGCACCAGCGCAGGCAGAAGATTGAAGGAAAAGACCACTGACCTCTCCTTCCAGACTGCAGATATATACATAGAGAGAGGAACCTTTATTTCACAACAACACAAGATCAAAACCACACTTGGTCTTGGATTAAAGCAGTGGTTATCAAATGTTTTCAGGTGGCAGATCACTTTAACAGTAAAAGAAAAACCGCAGACCCCCTAACACCCTAAATCTGGGAGAATCCCAGACTACTACTATTAAGAGTAATATAGGGAAATATTCTTGCAATTTAAATGAACTGTTTTCTGTGTTAATATATTTTAAAATGTAATTTATTCCATTCTTCGGTGTCACATGATCCTTTAAAAATTCTCAAGTAGTGCTCAAGAAACATTTCTTATTATTGTCAATGTTAAAACAGTTTTACTGATTAATATTTTTGTAGAAAATGTGATTCAGGATTCTTTGATGAATAGATAGTTTAAAAGAACAGCATTCATTCGAAACAGAAATCTTTTGTAACATTATAAATGTCTTTACTGTCATTTTTGTTAAATTTAATGCATCCTTGCTGATTAAAAGTGTTCAAGTTTACATACTTTGCATACAATGATGTACAACTACACTGTTACACTACTGAACTAATGTGAACCTATAAACCTGTTAATTCGTTGATTTGAGTTGTTTAATCAAATAATTAAATCAAATGTTGCTGTTTTTTGTTCATTATAATTTTTATAATGGTCTATATTTTTAATCAGCCTAGTCAGAACTCTTTACAGCTTGACAGGAAGTAAGACCTCCTCCTACTTTCCAAACCCACACTGACCTATCATTATGATATTTCATTATACATCAAAAGGAGCCATAGTGACTGAAGGCTCACAGATTTTGCAAGAGTTATAAAAGTATGTTTATGAATGTTAGGAATGTTTGTCAATTGTAATATTCATATGCATGCATTATAAATGCAAGAATATCAAATGAGGAAAAAATATTAGAGATTGAAGCTTGTTTTGGTTAAGCTGTTTTCAAACTTCTGAAAGCTGATTGTGAAACACCTGAATTTATTGTTCCTTGCACTTCCTTTTAATTTCATGGAAATGCCATATTGCAAAAGCATTGAATGCTTATGGCTCAAAAATAAGACATGCTCTACCTGCTGGAGAACATGGGAAGTACAATAACAAACACTGAGAATGAATCTTAAAGGTCCATTATTGTACACCTCTCTGGAGTTTTATTTGAGGTTTTGATGTCCTTAAGAATATATATTTGCGGTATAAGTACCAAAAACCATCTCAATATATTTTTACAGTTCCTTTCTCAGGAGCTCTGCTGAGAACAGGTCGATTTTGGTCTGTCTAATTAATATTCATGAGCCTCTCTTCTGATTGGCCTGTTGTTTTCTGAGTGACAGCATGGCTAGGCCAACCACAGGTAACTAGGGTCAGCCGAGGTCACAGCGCTAGCTGGAGGCAGCAAAGCAAAGGGGAAACTGGAGGCGGCCCATTCAAACCAGTGCAGATTCGGCTACATAAGGAGCTTAACATATTATCTTGTTGTGTGGTGATGGGTGCCAGAATTTACGTAATACAGCCTCAAATTAGAAATTTGATCGCATATCTGCTACCACTGCCAGACAAAAAAAACGACGACAGCTGTGGTTAAACGCAATAAAACGAGCAGACTGGACAGAAACAATCGTCAAAAATGCTCACGTTTGCAGCGCACACTTCTTATCAGAAAAGGTTCAATAAAGTATTGTCTTTTGTTGTTATGGGCAGATTTCTTGCCATATGTCTGTTTCTTGCATCTCACGACTATGTCGTGTATGAAATAACGTCTGTGCATATGTGTTAAACAACAAACTGACGATTTATATATAATCATTTGTAATTGTATATACATTGTTGTGATTAATTGTGGCTGGAACAATAGTGTAGCTGTAAAAATAGTTGCCTGCTGAAATTGAAATGTATATACATCTTCATCATGACTAGATAGACACGGTGAGTTTGTCTTTACTATACACGTTAGAAGTGATCCACCTCATAGTAACAATCCTGTCAGATCGTCCATCCTTTGAGTACAACGTGTAACGTTACAGGTGGTTAAAATTAACCTTTTCGACATGTTTCCGTGTTGTCCTTGCTCAGCAAAAGCATGGATGCGATGTTGTCTGGGGGTTTGGCAAAAGGAGAGTGGGACGGTGAGACGGTGGGCGGTGCTCGGGTGGTGACTGAAGGCGGTGACTGTGTAGTTCTGACGTCAACTTTTTACGGAAGTCACAACGGTTCGTGAAAAATAGCTAGAACTTTATGCAGGCTGTGTGCATTTTACTGTGGACTGACTGTTTTGAAAGGTATATGGTAGTTAAATAGCCCCTAGACCTCAGTAATCGTGAAAAAAGCCAGGAAATTTCAGTTTTGACAATATGGGACCTTTAAAGCTGATGCTTGTGATACAGCACACAGAATGACTACATAAATCTGGAGATATTTTTTTTATACTATTATAAAAACGCTTATCCCATCCCAGTTTAATGCCAGATACAGCTATAACTCTATTACACTTCCAAAATATTGCTTAGTTAGTTTTTTTTAATTAAAGGGGTCATATGATGCAATTTAATTTTTTCCTTTCTCTTTGGAGTGTTACAAGCTCTTGGTGCATAAAGAAGATCTGTAAAGTTGCAAAGACTAAAGTCTCAAATCCAAAGAGATATTCTTTATAAAAGTTAAGAGTCAGCCACACCTACCTAAAACGCCTCGTTCTAACACGCCCACACATACTCGCTGTAGTATTGTTGTTGCCGCCGCCATGTTGTGAAGGCGCTGTGTGTTTAGTTGTGAAAGCGAAACTACTTTGTTTGGCCTTCCAAAAGAGGACTGATATACAAAAGATATCTGCTTCATCATGCCTGGAGCTGATCCGTGCTGGTTGCTGAGGAAATACAACAACTTTGCGCTGTCGATCGCCAGATCGGCTTTCACCGTGGACGAAGCAGAGTCCAGCCCGGAGTCGTCACATGTGGTTGCCGCAAGCCTTCCGGACGCTCCTTCGTTGAAATCTCAATTCTCAAGCCCACCCACCTCTGCTCCCTCTAGCCCTCCGGTCATTCCTCACTCTAGCCCCCGGCCTCCGCTCACTCTAGGCCACCGCGTGTGACGCTGTGTTTCGTTGTGAAAGCGAAACTACTTTGTTTGACCTTCCAAAAATGGACACGACTAGAAATCAGTGGTTAAGTTGTATTTACAACACTGTTCCAGAACACTTCAACCCAAATATCCAGATGTGTGCAGCACATTTTATGGAGGACTGTTTACTGATCCTGGAAGAGTAGACTACAATGCCGGCTGTTCTGACTCACGGACTGTAAGTACATTTTTTTATATTTAAAGAGTTTTTATATTTAAAGTGAGTTTTTGGGCAGTAGAGTAGCACTTGTTGTTTGTCATTTCTCCGATCACAAATGCAGACATGGTTTTATGTTTACGCGGCGCGATGCAACGCAACGCGTAAAAAGACAGTATAAGTCATTATAATCCATAATTATGTC